ATTACTTCACTGTGCATTTTATTGTGCCACTAAAACAATTGCAAGGTTTGTCAGTTTCAGGTTTGGGTCATTTATTTGAAAGAAGAAAATCTAGTATGTCTTAAATTTTGGAATTCTCTCAGTTTATATCCAGAAGAATAGATTTCACAACAGAAACCCACACTAAAACAAAACAGGAAAACTGGCTTACTGCATTGAGGTCACTATTTTCAGAAATCAAGATCATATTAGGGCAGGGAGTAACTTATTTGTTTTGATTTCAGTGGGCAAAGCACTTGACTTTAAGTGAGGATATGAGATCAGTTCAATGCTTACTCACGAAAGCTCATGCTCAAATAAATTGGTTAGTCTCTAAGGTGCCACAAGTACTCCTTTTCTTTTTACTTTTCTTTGGTAAGCCTAGTATGTTGCAAATAACCTGGTATTGACACAGCTCTTAGCAGGGGAGTCTTTCTGTAGATTAGAAAAGAAAATCTGTCCTCTCTCTATATAAGCCAGGGTTCACCACATCTTCCCCCCTCCCTCCACACCTCACCTGAGTTTGCAAACACAGGTGATAGCTATATTATTAAGTTTTGTATTTGGAATTTCCAAGTAATGTCCACTCTACAGCTTCCACCATTAGCACCACTGGTAGAGCTGCTCCAATGGTGGGTGAACAATTGTTACAAAGGGCACAAGTGAGAGCAAGATCAGACTGAACAATAGTATTGCTGAGATGTGCAGATGGGGAGGAGCAACTGAGTCTTCAAAAGTCTCTGGGGAAATGCAGAAGACAGGAACATACAACTGAGAAAACAGGTTACTGACTCCCACCGGGGAAGAGGATTATTATGGTATCTGAAATAGGAGGTGGAAGGTCACGTGCTCCGTGAGGGCTGTGGATAACTCCACAAGTAGTCATGTAGGCAGAGGGGCAGCGGCAGCTATGGTTATGGGGCAGGGAGACAGAGGGCTAAAGGTTATGGGCAGGAGGGACTGTGGGTATGGATGAGGAGGCAGAGGGGCCGTAGCTATAGGACAGGCTGGGAATTAGGGGCCGAGGCTGTAGGGCAGTAGCCATGGGGGGAGGGGACCGTGGCTATGGGGTGGGGTGGATCTGCAAGCTCCTGGAGCTGTGGAGACGCTCCACTGTATGGTGTGCACGCTTCCCTTCTCCTCCCACAGGCAGCACCCCGTGCCTCCCCCAGGGAGGCTGGCAGGGACTCAGTCTCCCCTGCAAGCTCTTCATACCTGCGCGGCCCCCCACCTCCGGGCTCAGCCTCCCACAGCGCGGCCCCGGCGGACTCGAGAGCTTGACAGTTTCAAACTGCCGTCGGTAAAAGCCAAACCCGCTGAGATTGGTTCTGAGTACTTTTGTAAAGCAGCCTATCATTGGATAGCCGTTTCGCAGCGCAGCCAATCACTATGTGCGCAATTAACTCGGGGCGGGGCTTACAAGTAACTGCCTCCTGTAATCAATCGGCTGGCAGCCGCTGCCGCTTCCACGGAGCCTCACCTCTGGGAGTGGAGCGCTCTGCCCGTCTCAGACCGGCGTCTGGGCAGGACTGCTTCCGCCCGCTGATTGGCCAGCGATGCTGCCCGGGCCGGGAAGGCGGGCAGCGAACGGGCAGTTAGCGTGAGGGTGTCACGTGAGCAGGGCCGATTTTGTGTTGCCGTCAGTCGGCTGAGGCACGTAGTGTACGTGGCTGACGCTTGGGCCCGGCCTAAGGGCCGCGGCTGCCTGAGACGCTTCTGTCAGTGGCGGAAATCCGTGATAAGCCCGCCCGTCACGTCAGGGGGCTGCCCGCGCTGGTGCTGGGGCCTGATTCAGCAAAACACATAAAAGTCACCCCCACGTCCATTGGTTGTTTGAAACCCTCAGAAACGGAAGCTGGAGTGGAGACAGAGTGGGGGTGCCCCTCTGGCTCCTACTGGCACTGTCGCTCCGTGTTTGGCAAAGGCTACATCTTTGGCATTTGGAGCAAAATCATTCTGTTGCATAAAGAAAAGGAGGACTTGTGGCACCTTAGAGACTAACCAATTTATTTGAGCATGAGCTTTCGGGAGCTACGGCTCACTTCATGGGATGCATGTGTTGCGTGTGACCATTGAGGGGGCAATAGCACTAAGTCCGGGGACTATAATTAATAGAAAGTCAGCCTTAGGTTTTAAGGCTGTACTTGCATATAATAGGGAATATAGAGAGCGTCCCTTTGCCTGTTAGTCTCTTTGTTGATCCTGATACCATTTAAATCATGCTTTTTGTAGAACAGGCGGTGGGGTGTAAAACCCTTCCACACTAAATTATAGCCTTGGGTTATGCTGGTGACAGCTACACCATGTGGTGTACAACAGTCAAGCTCTGATAACTTATGAAATAGACATGACATTTAGCCTGACACTAGCCTGATGACAGAAGTAACACAGCACCTAAATGTATAAACTTAGAATAATAGAATATTTGGGTTGGAAGGGACCTCAGGAGGTCATCTAGTCCAATCCCCTGCTCAAAGCAGGACCAATCCCCAATTTTTGCCCCAGATCCCTCAATGGCCCCCTCAAGGATTGAACTCACAACCCTGGGTATAGCAGGCCAAACTTAGAGCAAATATACACACAAAATATACTGTATTTTATTTTAGATTTTTATAAATATATTTTAAAACCCTTCTGTTACTTCTAGACACTTTTGACACCCATTAAAATACACTTAATCAAAATAAAAGTAGCCAAACCACAACAAAACTTCACCCCCATCAATAGTCAGTCGCCATCCTCAAAATAAAGTCTTCTCCCCACACAGATTGCCCCCCCATCAAGTCCTTTCTACAGTGTTCCTTGGCTGCCACAGTAACTCCTTAGAGACCATTGCATTTGGGTGCAAGTAAGAGAAGCCCTAAGGTCAGCTCAGGATCTGGAGAGTGTAAATGTGGGGTTACATGCACCTTTGCTTCCACCAACCTCAGGTCCTGTTCCACACAGAGTCTGATCTGACCCACCAATCCAGCACACTATTTTAGCCAACATCTCAGCAAAGAATTACAGTGTTTCATGAGAACTAACTATTGGAAAATTTCCTTTCTAGGAACTCTTCTTTTAGCTTGTCAGGGGGGATAGGACCAGTGGTGAGCTGGAGCCGGTTTGCACGAACCGGTTGTTAAATTTTGAAGCTGGTTTAGAACCGGTTGTTAAAGAATACAAGGAACCCAACAGTGTGCTGTAAGGCAACTAGAAAGTTTTTGAATGCTGTAACAAGAGAACACTTAAGCACATGGTTAACTTTAGGCAATTTTTACGCATCAGGCGGCGCTCCGGGTCTTTGGCAGCACGTCCTTCACTCGCTCCGGGTCTTCGGCGGCACTTCGTTCAGTGCCGCTGAAGACCCAGAGCGAGGAGTGAAGGATGTGCCGCCAAAGACTCGGAGTGACTGAAGGAACCGGTCCTTCAGCTTTTGGCAGCTCATCACTGGATGGGACCTTTTCTTACCAAGGCACATTCAAGGTTATTGATACCGTGTACATTCCTTTGCCATGTTGTCAATAGAATGCTGACTAAAGAAATTCAGGGACTCTGTTGTAGTATCAGTTAAACATGAATTGGTTTTGCTCTGAAATGTTAGGTAGGGCAGCTGAAGAGTGTAAAAGGTTTTTCTGTAAGGGGTCTTTCCTTGCAGAGAAATGTATAAACAGTAATTGCAAACTAATTTTCTCAGACAACTGTTTTCGTTGTGTGAGGTTTGCACAAGTGATAGGTAAGATTTATGAATGGAATAAGTATATACTCTGGCGGGGAGCGGGGTTGAGATTCTAGAGCTGAAACTTTAGAAAACCAGAATGAGGAGCCAGAGCAAGTTTGCACTTAATATTTTAAAATATTATCCTCCTGTATAGTTTGCTAAAGTTAATGGGCTGGAGAGGTTATATGATGCACCATTTATCTTTTTCTTTGTTACACATTTTATCAGATATTTTCAGATGAGGTTGTTCATATATTTTCTTCTTCCTTCCTTTTCTCTTGTCTCTCCTATTTTCATCTATATTTATAGTATTAATTTGTTATATATAGTGCCTACAACGTGCTCCAGTGACTTCCAAACACAAAGACACAGATCCTGCCACATAGGCTTCACAATGTGAAACAAATAGCTGACTAAGCATAGGGAGAAAAGGCATAAATGTAAACAAAGTGGTTATTGTTGGAACAAAATATATTACCTAACATGTTTAATCAACACAGATTTTTTTAGATACATAGATTATCTCCCAAGTTTTCACTTTTCTTTATGTATCTTTTGTTTCTCCCCTTTAAAACCTTCTTTAATTCTAACTTATCCTTGTTCTACTTACTCTATAAATCTCTCATTCTTTAAATTAATATTAGTATTGTCATACCAAGTGGTAAGTAATTTAGAATGTGCAGTATCTTTCCAATACTAAAGAGTCCATGATAATATAGGGTATGTGTACGCTACAGTTAGATACCCACGGCTGGCCTATATCAGCTGACTCAGGCCTCGGGTCTGTTTAATTGCCTGGTAGATGTTTGGGCTCAGACTGCAGCCTGAACTCTGGGACCTTCCCACCTTGCAGGGTCATAGAGCCTGGGCTTCAGCCCAAGCCCAAACATCTCAACTGCAGTTAAACAGCCCCATAGCTTGAGTCAGCTGGCACAGGCCAGCTGTGAGTTTTTAATTGCAGTGGGCGCGCTCTCTCTCTCTCCCTTTATTTTCTGCTTTCATGTGACATTTTTAAAGTCTAGTCACAGTGATGTGTAAAGAGCTAGGGAAGAAATGTACAGAAGCTGAAAAATAAGATGGATGGCGTTGTGCCAGAAATAGTCAATTTGTTGACATCTCATTTATATATAGTTCTTTAGAAGAGTCCATCAAATGTTGACTTTTCAGTAAAAGGTGCTCCTTGTGTGATTAATGTGGCTTCATCTCTCTTATTTACCCACAACTGGCCTTCATATGCCCAATCATCCTACCACAAATTAACCCAGTTAAATTTTTTCCTCAGATGCTTTTGGAAGCTAAACTATGTGAGCAAAAGTTCGTTAACTACAAAATATTGATTGGACCAATTGCCATCAGAAAACATCACGTGAGAAAGGATCTCAGATGAAAATGAATGAATTGAAATGTCTCATCTAGAAGTTGTGGAAACAAATGCATCTCTGCATCTGCAGTGACCTCATCTTGCATTACTGTTAATATAAATTTTTCTTCCTATAAGATGATTGGCCTGTGCACTTTTGCACTAGATTTCAAAAAACATTTATTGTAAAGTGAATGTTTTTAAGGAATGTAAACTCAAAATCACAGTAGCTGTATAAGCTTTTGTATTCTCCAATAAATTTGTTAGTCTCTAAGGTGTCACAAGTACTCCTATTCTTTTTAATTATAAATTATATGAGGCATATAAATTGGCATACTTTCATCTCTGAGACACGTTGGGAATTGCTGCCTATGATGTAGATGGTTTGCAATGTCTCATGTAACTGAATAGTCCAATCCAAGATTTGCATGATCTTTAGCAGTTATTGCAAGTATATGTATCTTGGTTGTATGTATCACTATATATGAGGCATATATAGTGCATGTTATCCTGGACTTTAAACTGTAGAAGGGAAAACTGTACTACCTAATTCACTGGGAAGGCTATCGTCCTGAGGAATGTTCCTGGGAACCTGTTGCCCATGTCCATGCCTCTGACCTGATTAAAAGGTTTCATTGAAACCACCTGGATAAATCAGGCCCAGTGCCCACCTGGAGGAAGGGTACCCCTAAAGAAGAGGGTAATGTCACGATGGGCAACTAGAACGTGGATCTGCAAAGTCTGAGAGAGCTGATGTTCCCCCCGTGCTACCAGGAAGCTGTGCAGAGCCTCATCCATGGAGCACTGTGGAGAATAGGCCCTGCAGGAACTACTGCCAAAGGTAGTCAGAGTGACAGGACCCTGTAGCCCTCTGATTGGCCAGCCGGACTCTTGAACCCTGAGGAGTGGCCCAGGACGTTGTTTGGGCAACACCACATACTTTGGGCCTGCTGTGACTCCAGACCTCACCTCTTCTCTGGCCTCTGATCCTAGCCTGACTCTGACCCTTGCCTCCTCATACCAACCTGGTATTATCTCTGATCTCCGGCCTCCAACCCTGGTCTGATTTTGACCTCAAGGGAAGAAAATTAGCAGCATGTCATCTCCAGGAGGAGGAGAACCAGTATAGCCTGAAAGCAATTACCTACTTCTATCTGCACAGGTACTACTGCTTATAATGCCTTGAAAGAGTCATCTGAGAGAAGGGATCAGAAGGAGATCCTGTCAACTGGAAGGTATGGGATGCATTGCCCTAGGGATGGGGGTTCTATGACCACCACTCCCAAGAGGAGAAGGGCAGTGGTGGTCAGGGCCTCTCTCCTAAGAGGGCAGTCATCCATCTGCTATTGGACTGGGAATCCCAAGAAATGTGTTGCTTGCCTGGTGCTAAAAATTCAGCATGTGATGAGGAGTCTGCCAAGACTCATCATACCCTTGGACGCCAAGCCTTCCTACTTATCCACGTGGGCGCCAACAGTTCTGCCAAGAATGACCTTGAGTGAATCACTGCAGACTACATGTCTCTTGGAAGAAGGGTAAAAGAGTTTAGGGCAGAAGTGATGTTGTAGTCCAACCTCCCTGTTGAAGGAAAAGGCCCAGGCATTGAATTGTGGAAGTAAATGCCTGGCTACACAGATGGCGTTGGTGAGAGGGCTTTGGCTTCTCTGCCAATGAGCTGATGCTCTGGAAAAGAGGATTACTGTGCTGGGATGGGTTCCATCTACCAAATACTGGGAAGAGCATCTTTGGACATCTCACTAATCTGATAAAGAAAGCTTTAAATTAGATCTTATGGGGGATGGTGACAAAAATCTGGCCAATGTGCATCTAGGCTCAAGTCATGAAGACAAGGGGAAGGGGCTAAATTCTGGAGAAGGGAGTGGAAATCACAACTGCATTAAAGAGGCAAGAAGAAAAGTAACAGGGCAGGCTGCAAAATATATTCAATCCCCGTATACCAATGCAAGGATGAATTGGAAGTCATGGTATATTGAAAAAAAAGACATAATTGGCATCAGAGACTTGGTGGGACAACTCCCATGATTGGGGTACCAGCATTGAGGGATATAGCTTGTTCCAGAAGGATAGGGAAAAAAGGGAATAGGTATGGGATAGGGATAGGTATGGGAAAAAAGGAGGAGGAGTTGCACTGTTTGTCATGAATGTATACACTTGCTCCGAGGTGCAAGAGGAAGTGAGCAAGAGACATACTGAGTTTCTGGGAGAGGATAAAAAGGGAAAAGAATAGTAGTGATGTTATCGTGGGAATCTATTACAGATCACCAATTCAAGACGAGGAAGTGGATGAGGTTTTCTACAAGCAGGTAACAAGATTAGCTAACACACACAAGCTAATATTAATTGGGGATTTTAATTTCCCTGATATCTGTTGGAAGACTATTACAGCACAACATAATATGTCCTGCAAGTTCTTAGTGTGTGTGGGGAACAACTTTCTGATTCAGAAAGTTATTGAAATGACTAGGAGGTCATCCATTTTGGATCTGGTGTTGACCAACAGAGATGAATTGGTTGTGAATTTGAAGGTGGCCAGGAACTTGGGAGGAAGTGATCATGATCTGATAGAATTCAAGATCCAAAGGAAAGGAGGACATGAGAACAGCAAAACAAAGACACTGGACTTCAGAAAGAGAGAGAGATTTCAACCAACTCAGAGAAATAGTAGAGAAGGGCCCATGGAAAGACAAATTAGGAAGAAAAGGAGTCGAAGATGGCTGGCAGTTCCTAAAAGATGAAATACTACAGGCTCAACATCAAGCTATTCCAATGCAGAAGATAGATAAGAGGAGCCAGAGCGAGAAAATGTGGCTGTACAAGGAGCTTTTTAAGCTATCTAAAAGCCAAGAGAGATACATATAGGAAATGGAAGGAGGGGCATGTCACCAAGGAAGTATACATAGGAATAGCACAAGCGTGTAGGGACAAAAGCAGGAAAGCCAAAGCAAAGAATGAGTTACATCTGGCAAGACAACAAGAAGAGGTTCTACAAATGTCAGACAAAAAAGAAAGATCAGGGACGGTGCTCTGCACACTGGAGAAGATGAGCTGGTAATGGAAGATAAGGCAGAGCTGCTCAATGCCTCTTATCAGTCTTCTCTCAAAAATAACATGTGACCAGACAACTAGTGAAGTACCATAGACAATAAAGGGGAAGGGATGCAGATCAAGATGAGTAAAGAACATGTCTGAGACCTTCTAATTTCAATCAATTCAAGTCAGCGGGGCCCAATGCTATTCCCCCCGGGGTGCTGAAGGAATTAGCTGAAGAAATCTGAGAGCCACTGGCAATTATATTTGCAGACTCATGGATGACATGAGGTCCCAGAAGACTGGAGAGGGGCTAACGTAGTGTCCATCTTTGAAAAGGAGAAAAAGGAGCTGAGGAACTATGGACTAGTCAGCCTGACCTAGATACTAGAGCAATATATAAAACATTCAGTTTGCAAATATCTGGAGGATGAAGGGGTAATCAGTAGCAGCTAGAATGGATTTACTAAGAACAAATCATGCCAGACCAGCTTGACTTCCTTCTTTGACTGGATAACTGGTTTGGTGGATAGGGGGAATTCAGTGGACATAATATACCTGGACTTCAGCAAGGCTTTTGACACAGTTCCATATGACATTCTGATAAGTAAACTGGAGAAAAGTGGACTTGGCAGGACTACCTTTAAATGGATACATAATTGGTGAAACAACCACAAAGTGTAGCTATTAATGGAATGATTTCAGATTGGAGGGAGGTCTCAAGTGAGGTTTCACAGGGATCTGCTTTGGGTTCAGTGTTATTTAACACCTTTATTAATGGCCAGGATATAGGAATAGAGAGCATACTGATCAAATTAGCGGATGACACAAAGCTGGGTGGAGGGAGGGGGGTTGCTAACACTTTTGAGTCTAAAACTAAAATTCAAAAGGATCTTGATAAATTGGAGAACTGGGCTATAGACAACAATGAAATTAAACAAAGACAAATATAGGATGATACACTTAGGGAAGAAAAAACAAGTGCACAAATACAGAATTGGCAACAGCACTGCTGAGAAGGATCTGGGAGTTGTGGTGGATCACAACATCAACATGAGTCAACAATGCAATGCTTTTGCAGGAAAAAAAAAAAGCAAATGAAATTTTAGGCTGCATTAACAGCATAATGTGCAAGTCACGGGAGATGATAGTACTGCTCTACTCAGTGATAATTAGGCCTCAGCTGGAGTACTGTGTCCAGTTATTTTGGTCACCAACGTACAGAAAGGATGTAGTGAAACTGGAAAGGATCCAGAGGCAAGTGACAAAAGGAATAGAATGCAAGCTATATTAGAAAAGAAAGGCTGAAGGAACTGGGTATGTTTAGCTGGAAAAAGAGGAGAGTAAGGGAAACATAATAGTGGTTTTCAATTACTGTGTAGCAGGGTGCAGTAAGGCCCCCCTTGGACCTGCCTCTGCTGCGTTCCAAAAACCACTCAGAGACCTTCTGGCTCAGCAATCACCGGTGCAGTTTATTTACAGCGTGCAATCCCAGCACCTTCTCACCACATACAGCTTGTGGGCTTCAGCCTTAGGAACTTCTCAGTCTCTGCAGCCAGGAAAGAAGAATACCACTCTCTGGCTTCCCCACTGTTTCCTTCTTCTGGGCCTACATATAGCCCCAGATTAATCAGGCTCTTTCCCCTTTGTCAGTCAGGTGCAGGTTTTTCCAGACAGCTCCAATTTACCTCCCTTAATTGGAGCTGGCATGACAGAGGGCTGGCTCAGGTGTTCCTTCCCAGCAACCTGGCACATGCTGCCATAAAATAGATGGAAAAAAGTTGTTCTCTCTTGCCACAGAGGGCAGGACAAGAGGCAATAGGTTGAAACTACAGCATAGCAGATTTAGATCAAATTTCGGGGAAAACTTCCTAACTGTGAGAATAGTAGGACAATGGAACAGGCTGCCTAGGGAGATTGTGGAAGCTCCTTCACTGAAGGTTTTCAAAAGGAGGCTGGATAGCCATCTGTCTTGGATGGTTTAGATCAGTGGTCTCCAACCTTTTTACACCCAAGATCACTTTTTGAATTTAAGGGCAAACTCACCCCTTCTCTGAGGCCCCTCCCCTGCCCCAAAACCCCACCCCGCTCACTCCATCTCCCCTTCTCTCTGTTGCTCACTCTCCCACACCCTCACTCACTTTCACTGAGCTGAGGTTCGGGAATGGGTGCGGGCTCTGGGCTGAGCCTG